ATTTTGTACTTCTAAACAACTTGAAAACTTTTTAGATTTTATCTATAATTTTTCGAACACAATGACTAATTTTGCAGTTAAATGTCAAAACTATTTTCATATAAATAATTAATGTGTGTTGTAAAAAAGTTAGAAGTTAGAACTAACTTAATTTTATTATATACTTTTCATAAATTAAGTTGAAATAAAGTTTAAACTACTTTTTATTTAGTTTACCTTTACTATATATAGTTACATTTTCCGAATTAAATTAATGAGTAATTAAGTTGGCCTTTCAAAAGGGTTATAGAGTGTATCATCAATATGTCATTTTCCAGTTAACAAGCAACAAACATAATATTTCCCAATCATGCATTCTCCATCTGCCCCTTATCCGATGTTATTTAAGCATGAGTTTAGGGTCATACCATTATAATGGCTTCATTTGGCCCATAAATGCCGCAAACGTTCAACTCTTTTTTGGTGTAGTTTTATCTTTCTTCAAAATGAAGGTTTCCAACAAGACTTCTTGCATGGTTAGACCAGCTGACCCAACATGGTCCGGTAAGCTTGCCCTATCAGAACTTGATCAAACTGGTGTCACCACTCATGTCCCGACCATTTACTTCTACGCACAATCCCCTGAAGATTGGGTCACTGTTATACAAACCCTAAAAACATCACTGAGCTGTACCCTAGTTCATTTCTACCCGCTGGCCGGCCGGCTATCTGCTATTGCCGGAGGCCGTTTGGAACTTAATTGTAATGCTGCCGGTGCGCAGTTCACAGAAGCGTACACTGACAACAAACTTATTGATCTGGATAGTCTTTTACCATCTCCAATATACCACCAACTTATTCCATCAATAGATTACCAAAGTGCACTTCTTGAAGAAATCCCATTGTTGGTTTTGCAAGTCACAAGGTTCGGTTGTGGAGGGTTTAGCCTTGGTGTAAACATATCGCATGTTGTTGCTGATGGGCAAAGTGCACTTCATTTTGTGTCCGAATGGGCTAGAATTTCGAGAGGTGAGTTATTGGAGTCGCCACCTTATCTCGACAGAAAACTTCTGCGAGCTGGGGAACCTCCAAAGGCGAGCTCGAGATTTGAACATGCAGAGTTCGATCCTCCACCGATCCTTATAGATCAATCTGGTAACGAAAAGGAATCTGAGAAGGAGACTGCAGTCACAATGCTGAAATTAACAGCAACCCAAGTAGAAAAATTGCGAAGGAAAGCTGATAATGGTCAGAAGAGTGAGACAGGCCGTGGTTTTACACGGTATGAGACTGTAACTGCACATATATGGAGAACTGCATGCAAAGCACGTAATCATAAACCAGAGCAGCCAACTGCATTGGCTATTTGCATTGATGTTAGAAGTAAAATGAGGCCACCATTGCCAAGAAAGTACTTTGGAAACGGAATTGTCAATGCCATTGCCACCGGCTTCTCAGGTGAGATTGTTTCAAAACCTTTAGGATACGTTTCGTGTAAAATAAGGGAAGTGATTGAAAAGGTGGACGATGAGTACGTGCACTCGGTGTTAGACTTTCTAAAGAGCCAGCAAGACTTATCAATGTTCCGAGAATTGCAACAAACATCAAATGGGGAAGAGCATTTTTACGGCAATCCAAATCTTGGGGTGATAAGTTGGTTAACATTGCCAATTTATGGTGCCGATTTTGGTTGGGGGAAGGAGATTCATATGGGTCCAGGAACACATGATTCCGATGGAGATTCTTTGATTCTTCATAGCAAAGATGGAGATGGGTCCTTGGTAATTGCATTATGTCTACAGATGAGGCATATGGAAGATTTCCGGAAGCTGTTCTACCAAGATATTGACGTGGAATGAAATAAGTTCGAGAAAACGAATCGCATGATCTGAGTTGAAGATCCTAGAATTGTTACTGCGCTCTATGTATGTAGAAAATATAAGAGCTCTGTTATTTAAACAACAGTTCCGTTAATGCGACTTACGATACAATTACAAAGGATTATATCAAATATAACAAATTCTCCAGTCAAATATGAAGTACAAATTAAGGCTGTGCAAAAAACCGCACAAACCGCCCGCACCGCACCAAACCGCACCGCATAATGCGGTTTAGAATTTCTTGGTGCGGTTTGCGGTTCATCATTTTATCAAACCGCACTATGCGGTGTGGTTTGCGGTTTGTATTTATAAAACTGCGGTTCAAACCGCACCGCACCACATGTTATATATATACTTTTTTTTCTTTTTTTTGTTATAACTTCAAATCACGATTTAGAAATGATGTATGTAAATATATTTCTTACAATCACCAAATATCTATAACGTAACATTAAATCACTATTAGATCAAGATCTCATGGTTTACAAGAATATATCAATTATAACGGCAATATAAAGCAATAACAATGATACTTACAAAACTATAGTAACATGAGTCACAATTTATTAAAAACGATTTAACTCGAAAATTGTATTTGTTTTTATAAAATCAAAGCAATCATTTTTTTTTAACCCGGCTAGGTTTTTGGTTTTTGGTTTTTTGATAGATTTAATGTTTAACAACTCATCAAACCGCACAAACCGCAACTAAACCGCATAAACCGCCGGCATCAAACCGCACCGCATCATGCGGTTTTGAACATCTGTGGTGCAGTTTGCGGTTTCTAAAATATTCAAACCGTATATGCGGTGCGGTTTGCGGTTTTGATTCGAAACCGCACCAAACCGCACCTCGCACACCCCTAGTACAAATCCTAAGAGCACCTATATATGGTGGGACACTAGGTTTTTAAACTTATGGACCGCTCCAATGCAATTTTCCCGATTGTGGTCATGATTGAGTCCATGCCACATTTCATGGTGTTGGTCCACATTCATGGACCTTTTCAAGAAGACTCGTTGGGCCTATATTAACTAGCAGCTAAACTATTCTTTGTTTTAAGTTAAACTTGAGCTATAAAAAATATATAACAAAAAATATAATAAATTATTAATATGTTTATAATGATTAAACTATTATATACATTTTAAACTGTTAATAAGTAAAATACAGAAAACTATTATATTTCTTTAATAGTTTAAAATAAGCAAAATACATAATAATAAAAAATAAAAAAAAGCACAATTTAGTGCTAACTGATAAAAGAGCAAATTATATGATTCGTCCACAATCTACTTGTTAAATACACGTTTATTCCTTATTTTAAAAGTTTTAGGTCCCTAAAAATGTTTGACATTTGGTTGATAATTTGCTTACTGTAAGCCTATTATAATAATAATAATAATAATAATGACTTTTTATGAATCTTGTAATTTGGTGGATATCGTATGTAGTATAATGTTATAAAGGGAACGAATGTAAGTATCTCTCTCTCTCTCTCTCTCTCTATATATATATATATATATATATATATATATATATATATATATATATCTTGTATTTACATCGGTTAAACCGACTAACCGGTGTCTATAACGCTAATTACTATTAGTTAATGTTGTGTATTGAGTAGGGACGGAGTTAGGATATTAGGATAAGGGGGCTTACATCGTAATAAGATATTAAAATATTTGTATATCCAAATAACATAATTGAGTCTTTTAAATGGATTAAAAAAATCATTTAAATATAGGCTACATCGATCTTTACAATAATCAATCTTCACCACCAAAAGATTGGTACTAAACACCTCCTATCAATCTATATAAATCAAACCCTAATTCCACCTTCTAAAAATAGAGATTGACCAATAGTCAACCCATACCAAAGATCAACGGTCAAAGTCAATACCCAGAATTGACTTTAGCTAACCATCACGTGGTTGCCTTCCTTGGTCATGTTGTGGCCTTTACCAAGCCAAATATATGTGAAGTTCCCAGTTGCCACGACATGATAACCTATGACCATGATGTGGGTATTGGATTTCCAACAACTTCATGGAGTAAGCTGTTTTCTTAGATTCCAAGAGCTCCAAAGCTTAGATATGGTCCATACTATGGTCTATGACCATTGAAGTTGTTTTCAGCTCCTGTGTGACTATTATATATTCATAGATGATAGACATTTGAAGTCGCTTTCATCATGATTTGCATAGGATTTCATCTCCATGATCTTATTCGGATTAATGTGGTAAGTGTTTATCATCAATTATATGCATATGCCATTTACATGGGTTTGCTTAAACCTGGCCCATCTATTTAAATACCTATACAACTGGTGGAAAAGCATGTCATATGATAATATTTTTATTTTTCTTTTGAATTATTGTTGAAATATAGTTTATTTTCCTTGTTTAGGGTAATGGGTGTTTCTGCACTTCAAAAGTATATTAGTGGTTTAGATGGTATAGGTCTATGCTTTCTATATAGTATATGACTTTGTAATTAAGTAAATATTTCACTGGATTTGGGTAATTGATTATTGAAACAAATGTTGTATAGTAACTTTATGCAGTTGGTAACTGTAAGAAAATTGGTTATTGAACTAAATGTAAAGTCCTGATCCTTTTGCTGGGGATACTTTTGATTGGTGCACCTAGAACAGGGAAAACTCTACTTGCCAAGGTAAAGTGTAAAATATTTTGTTTAATATGACTATCTTATCCTGTTAACCAATGTTCAAAAGTTATAAAAACCCATATCTCAAGTTTATTTAAGAATTAATTAAAAACAATGAGAAATAATGTTAATGGCAAGTTTCACCACCCAAATCCAATATTGTTTCTCTTAAACTCCATTTTTGTTTTGATTTTGCCGAATGCCTTTGTGGTTTACATATGTAAATTAATGATTGATATAAGTTTCATTGCTAAATTCAATGATGTAAAGCCCATTATATATTTTGAATTTATTAAAGACCTTTGCAAATAGGTACCTTCATTTACCTTTCATTCATGTAGTTGTATTGTATTTACTATTTAGACCTAGGTAATAACGATGGATACTTTTAATTCATAGGCTGTTATGAATGAACATAGTCCATAGATACTCTCTACTATTTAAAAAGAAAAAGAAAAAAGAAATGATGTTTGTTTGTTTGTTTGAGTTTCAAGTGATACGAGTGTTGAGTCCAGTTTACACAGCTCATATTCCATGTTGGGCAATCGTATCGAGAGTTGTGTGGATATTTATGTTGACAGTGATGACGTTTGTGATGCTGACATGCCTCAAACCCGTCATAGTAATGACTAAGAATGTCACTAGTTCAGAAACCAAGAAAGCACATTATGGGGTTTGTATGACAGATTAGTAGGTATTTCTCTGATCCACATTATTATTTCCAAATCAACAATCATTATGTCATAAAACACATTTTAATACATGTTTGTTTCCTCCGCTCAAAGGCCAAGACGATCTACCAGGTTTCTACTTAAAACTCCCCTTGTTCCTTCACAATTCTTATTCCAATTCATACCATCTTTAATCTGGTGATACTTATTATGATCTATTCATCAAGGATTGTATTACTACATGCATATATGACCTCACATCAAATACAAAACCATGAAAAGATTTAAACAAATTCTGATTAATACATTGGATAAAGTTCAAAGCTTTTTAGACAGTTACATAGAAACAAGAATAAGAATAGACTTAAGATCACAATCAAATGCATTATCATATATCAATCCCTTTAAAATGATTGCTAAGTTCACAAACCGTATGGAAATAAACATGTAATCGTTATGCAAAATACATCAAATATTCTTCTATGTTCTTCTATATATGATCCACATGTTTAAAGGCTTACCCCCAATAGCATTCATGTTCCAGACAACATAAAAATAACCACAAACACCAAATGGAAAAGAGTGGTCTTTAAAGTCAATGCCACTTCATTAGCTGGAAGTGGTCAAAGAATTGACCCAATGGTTCAAGTTCTTCTAACTTTTTTTCTTAAACACATTTCCATATATAATCTACATTCTAAACTCAAATCTTTCCACTTTTAGGTTGCTTTAAAAATTGCAGAAGAACTAGCAACAACATCTCGTTGTGGTGTTGAGGTAATTAACTTTAACCTATCTCTCTTTTCTTCCTTTTTTAAATTCTTTTTTCATTAATATATTTACAACTTCTAATTCTAGGTTGCTATTATCATCGCAGGGCATAACTTCTTTTGTGGCTGTTCTTGGGTGTCAGCAACTGATTTAGACAGGCTAACAGCTTATCAAATTGGGTAATTATTTATCTTCATTTAATTTCTCTATTTCTTTTTTAAATTCCAATCTTGTGTTTTATGATTTCTTTTACAGCATGATGGCAACAGTTATGAATTCAGTTTCACTTCAATCAGCATTAGAGAAATTGAATATTCAAACGCATGTACAAAGTTCTTTTATGATGCCAGAAATAGTTGAACCATATAACCACTTACGTGTCATGCGTCACCTAGATAAGGGTAGAGTTGTCATTTTTGGTGGTGTTGGGGGGGGGGGGGGGGGGGGGGCGCACTGGGAACCCACTTTTTACAACTGATAAAACAACTTTACAAGCCTCTAAAATTAAAATTAATACTTATTTCGAGTTTTTATTAAAAAAAAAAAGATAATGGAATTTGAGATAAAATTTCTTTGTTTTATTGACTAGTCAATGCAGATCCGGTTATTAAAGGTACAAATGCAAATGGTATGCGATAAAAATAATGTAGAATTGGATCATATTTCCTTTCGTGATGCGATTTCTAGGGATTGCTCTTCAATGAATTTAATGGCGATTCAATTTTTCGAAGAGAATGCGATTCCTGGTTAGTTTATTGAATAAATCATTAAAATTAAATAATCAAAAATGGAAAAAGTTTGTTTTTTCTTTACTTAGATGGGTTTTTTTATAGTTGTGATATTTAACATGCTGGAGCCTGGGAATGTTTCCAAGGCATTGACTGCAGAACAAGTTGGAACCTTGATTGAAGGGTAATGAGGTAAATTTATATAGGGTGGTTAAAAAAAATTAGTTTTTACCATTGCTAGTTTTATTAAAATTTTCTAGATTATAATGGTGGTAACCTGACACCAAGGACATGAGGTTATTGATCTTTTACATTATTATTGCTATCAGATTATAATAAGAGAAATTGTAGGAATGGTTTTAGGAGGGTTTAATGTTAGTAAAACTAAAACCGTAGTGACCACTGGAGCCTAATGTTGCTAGTTTGTTTGTAGTTTAAAATTTGGGGGACTTTTTTAATGGAAGGAGTTTGGGAGAACTGTACATTTGTTGTGTCAGGTATGATCGAATCATGATCTACTTGTTATTATATAATTAGATTTAAAAATGCTTGAATAATACTAGAATTTAGAAATTTCCGCTTAAATTAAGGAATCCTTAGACTTAATGATAGAAAACAACATGGAGTTATAATTATAAAAGCATGTTACTATAATAATAATAGTAAATAAGTACATAATTATGGTTTCATTTATTAAGAATGCATGTTAAATTTTATGTTGGCAGGGACTGTGGTTGACACCAAGATTTGCCACCCAATGGAGTTTGATTTCTACCTGTGTAGTTATGTTGGTATTAAGGTGAACCAACTGAACTACTCGAGCTTAATAAATCTTTTATTTTAAAAGGTGATGATATATTCGATTTGCAGGGAACAAGCAGGCCACCACATTACCATGTATTGTATGATGAGAATAAGTTCACTCCTGATGGTCTCCAAAATCTAACAAACTGTATATGCTATAGTTATCAAATGTGTACAAGATCTGTGTCCATAGGTATAAATAATATATGATTGTTCTTATTATTTGAGTACAATATTATGCCAAAACTATATATGATATATTTCAAATAAAAAATGCAGTTCCTCTTACTTACTATGCGCATTTGGCTGCATTTCGTGTCTGTTATTACATGGAGGGGGTGAATTGTCTGACAGTGGTTCTTCATATGGAGCTGGGGGCATGCAACAAGAAGGTGCCCCTTAATAGCAATGTAGTATTAGGTTATATAGTTAGGGAAACGTCTTAATAACAATGTACAATCAGGTCCCCTTAATATCAATGTAATACAATTTTTTGACATAATATTATTGGATGAAATTGATTGTTTTGGTATATATTTGTTTCTATATTTTTGTATTATGTGTAAATGAGTATCGTAAAGGCACGTCGTATATGCATATCGTAAATGGTTGCTGATGTTTATGACATGCAAATGCATGTCATCTTCATTTATCACATGGGCTTTAATGATATGCAATGTGTGTCTTAAACGCGCATCGTAAGGTTACGACACGCAAATGCGTGTCATATTCCTTGACACACAATGTGTGTCGTAAATGCACGTTGTAAGTTTACGACACGCAAAAGCGTGTCGTCTTCCTTTATGACAGGTCCTTCCTTGACATGCATTTGTGTGTCATTTGTACCTTTTTATGACACACAATGCATGTCACTAAAGGGTATTTTTCTAGTAGTGAAAATCCATAATGTCTTAACCATTAAGTCCTTAATCGGAAAAAATTCCTTAACCCAACTACTCTACAAGGGTTTCTAAAACCAGATCTATCATAAAGGTGAAAGCCTTGTAGACATATATGTCTAATACATGTCTAAGATCCATTTTAGTTCGAATTTGAGCTCTAAAGACCAAAACTTAAGCAAATCACAAGACCTTCTAGGCTAGACCATAACATATGACGCTCTTGGGACTTAGGAAAGTCATAAAGTTGCCAACTTTATGAGTTCCTTCCCTCCAAACATTCTCAAACATGAGGAACATGGAATAATATTCAAGATCTAACAACCAAAATTCATAAAGCAAGGAACTTTGACACTTAGAAAGGTCCAAAGACAATATGAGGTTATGATAACATTGATTCCTTGCAAGCTTCACCAAAAAATCACCTTTTTCTTCTTCTCTTCTTCTTTAAGCCAAGAAAGCTCCAAAAAGCTCAATAATCACACAAGGAATGAAGGCTAGGGTTTTCTAAGGTGAAAGGGGGTTTAGAGGCTGATAATGAACTCTAAATTAGTTTAGAGGTGTTTAAATATGAAGGGAACCCAAAAATAGTCATGGGCTTGGACCTGATCAGCTGGCACGCCATGGCCTTCCTTGGCCATACCGTAGTGATCCAAAAAATCATGCGATCAAAATACTTATTGCCACGCCGTGGCCTTCCTTGGCCACATGTAATATCCATGATATCATATGTTTTTTAAATTAGAATTATAAAACATATAAATACCCTTTTTTTCAAACCTCAAATCCATGCAATCCTTTTGAAGAACAATTGCACATCTCTTGTATGCACTAGTGAGATAAACGATACTTAACTGCTTAGTATTATCTTTTAATGGCTTGGTTGTCTTCGCGATTTCTATAACAAAGTTATAGGCCGATTACACATCTTTTTCAAATTGGACGATTTGATCGGAAATCTTTTGTGATAAAGGTTACCTAAGCAAGAGAGATCTGAGGCATAGTTGTGATCAAACATGTCTAATTAAATTTGTTATTAGCGATCCCATAAATCTAGGAATTATATAGTAAGATATAATTGATTATCGATATCTACCAGGTTGAATTGAAATGGATGGGATAAAGGATACCTGCCCATTTATTTGTTTTGCAACTTGGATCGTAGACTTTGATAATTAATGTTATTGGAAACTAAAAGGGTATAAATTGTTGAAGATTAAATATTGAAAATAATAAATGAATTTTGTTAAAGTTTTGTAGTTAAATAATCTATTCTCATTATCCCGAATTTTCATTTTCTTTTGATGACTTAATGAAACAATAACATTCACTAGATACAACTTCAATTAATGTGTTCATATCTTAAGAGACAATCTCGTAAGAGATATGAAATTATATCCACTTAAAGATCCTAGTCCTAAACTATTTTCTATGAGAAATAAACCTAAACATGATACCTAGTAAAGGCATCATTGTGATGCTACAAATGCTTCTAACATCAAGCTAGCAATAGTTATTCATGACTTCTAGGAAGTCTTGGATAAATTAAACATATATCTGATGATATAACATGTCAAACAATATTCCAATAAATATAGTAATATTTTATTTAAAGTTGGTTTAAACATTGGAATAATGCAAGGAAAAAAGAATCACCTTATGTGACCCAGTGGCCCATGTTTTATAGACTAAACACCTTTAAGCCCAATAAATCTACTAATGCCTACATAGAAGGATCTTGTCTCTTTTGTGAAGAAACTGGACACTGGAAGAGGATTTACTCCTCTTATTTGGAAAGAAAATCTGGAAGAGACTAGTACTTGTAGTATCTACTAAATAGAACTCATACTTTTCATATAACACTTAGGTACTTGGTACTTAAATGTTTTCTAATATTTGTAAATCGCTTGCATATATATACTAAAGAGTACCAGCTCAACACAATGAAGTTGGAACTACACTCAGAGTTTAGTATTTTATTTATGCTTTGAATATAAAGTACTTGTAATGTAAAACAATATTTGTATTGGAACACTGTATGTTTTAATCTAGCATGTCTAAATTTATGTCTCACTTATTTTATTCAAATATTTGATAATTTACTCAATCATTTTTTATAACAATAATATTCATATTTTGGAATGATTAACTTTTATTTATGAGACTAGATCTCTTAATAGAATTTTGAAGTAAATATCAACAATTTATAAATAAAATGAAGTTCTATACAAAAACATTTTTAACTTAAACTTGTTTTAAATCAAACTCATCTTTGACATTGTTATCTTTATTATATAAATGACATTCACATATTCCAACTTCAAGAAAGGGATATGTAAATGAAAATAATGTAGTTTATTTGACATAAGTGAACCTTATTTATATGTAAACGATTTCTAATGATATTTTCACTAAAGTATAGAGAAAATAATCAAGGAACTGTACACTTTGGTGTATGACTTCCTTTCTAATGAACGTATGAGATTAATGTAACAACCCGTCATTTTCAAGTCAATAAAAGTCAACAAAAGTCAATGAAAATCAAACCCTCTAAATAAAAATCAACTTTTATTTATTGTGATAAGTTCATAAGGGTTAAATATTGATTTAAAATATAGAAATAATATATTTATATAAGTGTTATAAAATTGGGATTTAATGTACCTCAACCGAAAACTCTCGCATGGTCCAACCACTCAGCCGAAATCTCATAGGACCCTACCTCTGAAATCGGATTTCGGTCAAGACCGAAATCAGGCATAGTCATGGGCACTTTGGACTGCAAATAGTTCTCGGTAATCACTGAAATCAGCATGCGAAGGGTCCCACTTTTGACCAAAACTTTTCTTTTGGACTACTTTTTGACCGAAAACACTTAGTTGAGGACCAATAAGGCTGAAAACTACTCTTATATATATAAGTATTCCTCTGTAAACATACTTCATTTCTCACTTTGCAAACTGTGAACATCCTCATTTTTCTCTCAAAATTCATTAGAATTCTCTCAAGTATCATACGAAAATACAAAATCTTCAAATCTTTAAATAAAATCCTTCAAATCTTCATAAGATCCTCAAGAACATTCATACCATCTTCAAACGTTCATAATTTTACAAAGAACACCAAGAACACACTGAACCCCCCCCCCCCCCCCCCCCTCCAAACCCCAAACCCACCGAAAAGGCGTAACACACTTCCAAATAATTCCCAATAGTTTTTGTAAGTATTCCTTACATAATTAAGTGTTGTCTAACACTTAATTTATTATTTAATTTATTTAAATTTAAATTTTATTAATTTAAATGCAATTATGTGTCTAAATATTATCAGGATGACGTTATTTTAATGTACGCTAGCCTGAAGATCGTCTCCACAGTTTCATTATCCAAACGTGAACATGCATTAGAGATGTGTTCATACCCCTACGTTTTCACTATATTCAATGTTTTAGGGGGAATGCAAGTAAAGCACAAGGACTCTTGTGTTAATATTCAAACGATTTCAAACCATTTCTAACCAGTTGCAATTGGCAATTCCGCCCTAAATCCTGTTCCTTGTCTGGTTGTGGGTTTAGGATAGAATTAGTTATTCGACTGTCTTTTCACTCTTAATTATATATGTTGTGAATAAATATGAATATAAAACATATTTCATTATATTGTTAACCATTTTGTAACATGTCGAGCAAAAGGGTATGTTTCACAAATCTTTTATCACCGACTTATATACTCTGTTAAATTGCAAAGGTTTCAGTCCATTCCAGAGCATACACTTAAACTATAATAGGTATAGTTTGTGAACCACTACACTATTTTGCTAAGTTCAGTAAATGAAACAAGAACATACAATTAAACAATAATGGGTATAGTTTGGGAACCACTACACTATTTTAGAAGTTCAAGAACACTATATAGAAACAAGTATATAAACTATAATAGGTATACTTTATGGAACACTACTATATCTCACTATTTCAAGGATATACTACTAAATAATTATTTAAGTATAATTATTTTACATTACAAAGTACACTACTACAAGGTAATACATATAGTTTCAAGTACAAGAGAACACTATAACACTACAAGTAAACTAGTTAATACAAGGTTGTGAGGCACTACTTCATTGTACCCATTAGGGTACTAAGTCCTATAAATTATAACCAGAGTCTCCTGGAAGGAGCGCATGAATTTCTGTATAGATCTATACGAGGTTGACAATCCCGCACCTGAACTGCTTGCAACAGCTAGGTTGGCAGGCTTGGGGTGACAAATGGCATAACATTCCGATTCCTGAAGAACATGCTAGAGGCCACTAAACATTTTAGCATGGTTATATGAAACTCACAATAGTATCAAATAAAACATTGTTTACGGGATTAACACTACTTCAAGGGTTTTATTTTAAATAATAAAACTATAGTACACTACTTCACAATACAGCTGGTGGATTCCAGACATTCATACAAAATGGTTTCATACAAACACTAATATAATACATTACTTCCCTAGTACAAAGTACACTAGTACAACATACAATTTAGGGAA